AATCAATATAAAGGTATACATACTTGAAAAGCTCTACGTTTTGGTTGTTTGAAAGGGAATTTGAACCATGCAATAGCAGAGTGTGAGTTATGATCTATCCAGTTGTATGATGTTCCTATAGAGAATATCTCGCATATGTTGATACAAAGGACAGTTTAGAAGAAAATGACACACTGATTCTGTTTGACCACAGGCGCATGTGTTTGATTCGGAAATATTTTTTCGGAAAAGATCATCATTTAAGGAACTACAGCCAAGTCTTAAGCGAGTATGCAGGATTTGAAGTTTTCGAGGCCCTGTGTTAAAATAATTAGGAGGTTTGTGTGGGTTTGAAAGAAGTCGCTTGAATTGTTGTAAAGACTCTGATGATTTTGTATTCTGAGGGAGCGTGTTCCAGGAACGGATGCTAGAAGGGATGAGAGAGTTTTGATAAAAGGATGTTCGACAATAGATAGGAGGAATATCAGAGGAGTTTCTGAAGGTGTATCTTTCGTTTTGACGTGTTGGGATTAGAGTGTTTAAGTAAGTGGGACATAAACTATTTCGAATTTTGTAAATAAAGACCAGTTTGTGATTACTACGTCGAGTTGATAATGATTCCCATCCTAGGTCGTCATAAAGTTTTTCAAGAGAACAAAGTTTAGTAGCACCTGTGACTATTCTGGCAGCCTCGTTTTGAATCATATCTAATTCATGCTTTTCGCTAGCTGAACAATTATCAAAAAGTATATCTCCATACTCTAATAATGGACGGATAAATGTCAAATATAATGTTTCTAATGTATTTCTGTCGAGTGTAAATTTTAGACTACGGAGAATATTGATCCTTGTCCAAGCTTTGTTTTTAATATATTCTAGATGATTTGACCATGAACAATCGTTTGATAGAACAACTCCTAAATGTTTGTGAGAAGAAGCTTCAGCAATGACTTGGTTTTGCAGAAGTAGGGGAGGATGTTGTGTTTTGATAGCTTTCCGAGATATAGTCATACATATGGTCTTTGCTGGATTAAACGAAACCAGCCATTCTTTAGACCATTGGTTAATCTTTTGTAAATCAGAGTTTAGTACATTTGCTGTTATTTCGGGTGTATTAACGATAAGGGATAAACTTGTGTCATCTGCAAAAAGTCTGATGTTGGCGTCGATATCTATTACAATGTCGTTTATAAATATAAGGAAAAGCAGTGGACCGAGAATGGATCCTTGAGGAACACCAGCCTTGACGTAAAGAAGGGAAGATGATGATCCTTGGACAGTGACTCTTTGCTGCCTATTGAATAAATAGCTTTGAAACCAAAGAAGTAAATCTCCACGAAATTCCAGCAGATGACAATTTAGTTATGAGTCCTTTGTGCCATACCCGATCAAAAGCTTTGCTTATATCACAAAATACAATTCTAATTTCCTTTCCATTGTCTATTGCTTCACAGAAAGAATTATAAATTACTGATAGTTGGTTTATAGTTGAGTCGCCTTGGCGGAAACCAGACTGATATTCTGTTTAAATTTTTGTTGTTAATTAGATGATTATATACGTGTTTGTAAACAGCTTTTTCTAAAACTTTGCTTAGGGAACAAAGAAGTGAAATTGGTCTATAATTACTAATTACATTGGTCTCATTCTTTTTATGAACTGGACATACGTTTGCAACCTTCCATTGAGTAGGAAAAGTACCGATAGACAGAGAATAATTGAAAATATCTGATAAAGGAACAGCTAATTGAGACGATATTTCTTTTAAAACGCGATTGTTTATTAAATCAGGACCAACTGCTTTCCCAAGTGGTAGTGTTCGTAATAATGGTTCGATATCAGATGGTTCAAAGTGAAGTGATGATAGAGTTGAGGAATAAGAATAAATTGGTGGAATGGGTTGCCAATCAGGTTCGTCAAGAAATGTTTGTTGAGCGAAGAAACGATTGAAGGCGTCCGCCTTTTCCTCGTTGTCATATAGAATATTTGAGTCATTGAGCAGTGGAGGAATAGATCTTATTTGACTATTAGGGGAGATAAACATTTTTAACTGTGGCCCACCATGATTTATTAGATGTTTTATTAGTGAGAGTCTGGGTTAATTTGGCTGTATATTCTGATTTAGCATCTCTAATAAGGGAAACTATTTTATTTCTAAGTTGGCGGAATTTCGACCAGTCCGAAGTTCGATTATGGAGCTTAGCTTGTTTGAAAAGACGCTTGCGTTTGCGTATAAGTCGTTTAATTTCACCTGATATCCACTGTGGTTCTGTGGGTCTGATGGTGATTAACCTATTAGGAATATATTGGTTACAAAATTTAAATATGGTAGATGTAAATGCAGAGACCCATTGGTCAATATCAGTGTTACGAATGGTCTGCCAATCAAATTGTTCTAAAGAGTATCTCAATGCATTATAATCTCCTCGGTCGTACAGCCATATTTGACGGGAGTGAGTCTGACATTTTGGTTTAGTAAATTTAAAAAGTGCAAAAGTGGGACAATGATAACGAATTTGCTGATCGAAAACTGGTTCACCAACGCCACTAAGTACCAAACTACGTATGTTTTTTAAAAAAATAAGATCTATGACGGATGAAGACGTTTCAGTGAAATGTGTTGGATCATTGATACATTGAGCAAGCCCAAATTGGTTACAAAGGTGTAAAAGTTTTCGCTTGGATGCGGGAATGGCAGGATTAAGGTTAAAGTCGCCAACAATTGTAATGTTTTGAATACCAGAATTAAGTGCAAGGTCAAAAGATTGTTCAATTTTAAGGTCATATTGGGCATCAGAGTTTGGTGGGCGGTAGAAGAGTCCAATAAGCATTTTAAGGTTCCGCTTTTAGAATAAGTTCAATCCAAATACATTCAATATCTAAGAATTCTAAGTCATGCCTTCGAACATAAGCTAAATTTTCGTTGACGTATAATATAAACACCACCATATTTGTCATGTCCTCTGTCTCTGCGCTCGGGAATATGAAAATTATTTAATAGTAGTGCACTTGTGCTAACCGATGAATGTAACCATGTTTCGCTAAATGCTAATATGTCAAAAGAATCGAACTCTGTCTTGATAATGTCAAGTTTGGGTAAAAGACTCTGAACATTGTAATGTAGAATGGACAAGTTATGTGAAATATCAAATGATGTATCAAGTGATGCATGTGAAAATGAGTTGTCGGGCCCAGGATGCGGATGAACGTCTCCACACTGTAAAAGGAAAATTGTTGACCACGATATTATTAAACAAACAGTGAAAACAATAGCTACGTTTTTGGAAAATGAAAGATTTCTATAGAATGCCCTAGACTTTACAGAATATGTTTTAGTCAGTCCTTTCAATGAACGGAGACGACTAGCGTTGACTTCGAAATATTGACTAAAAGACAAGCAATATACAGGATTATTAAGAAGCAACCAAATTGTTAGGAGAAAAAAGTGAAAACGGCAAAATCTTGATTCTACTAACAGGTTTCTGTTCCAGAAAACAAAAGTACACTCCATTATGTAATTGATGAAAGGAGAAATAATAATAATTGATAAGTTGTAATCAACAAATATTTACAAATATGCAAGATTTCTATGAATGTCATGACTGCTACAGTGATCTTCAAGGATAGTGAAGAAAAAAAGAAAAAATATATAATAACTTTTAACATGTTATACACGTATGTGAAATATATAATTAAGCATATTATCGAATTAAACAGTGTTCATTATGACTTGTAAACTACATTATAATGATGTGTGTGCAGTAAGATTTGAACTTCCTATATTAAGAAGAATAAAAAAAAAAAAGAGAAGGGGAATTATAATGATTAAATCCATTTGCATAATAAGGCAAAAAACAAGTATTGAATAAACGCATTAATATCAGCGATGAAGTCCATAATTTGTCAGTAGTACATTTGTATATACGCAAAATGACCTATAAGCACATACATATTTACACATTAATTATACTTACAATCATAGTTAATGTACATTCAAAGTAATGCAGGTATATATCGGCTACCAAGGTAAAATTACAAGTGTATTAATTATACAAGAACATAAACAGAAATAGCATACTATGGAAAACAAAAGTATTTTCAGTAATAAAACATCTCTTTAAATAAGTTTATACAATTTAACTTAATGACTATTCTTCATTGAACTATTAAATATCGATCAATTATATACTATGCACTTTAATTATAATTATAAAAAGAGAGATTGATATTACTTGAGTATTATAATTATTATAACGTTGATGTCAACATGTCAAATAACGCATGAAAACACAACAACGGGCATATTCGACTATCTGAAGCCGCGGTAGTACTTGATGATAGAGATATACAATATTTATTTTAATTTGATAAGATTTAATAATCAACTATCTATCATAATTTATTAGATTTTTAAAAAAGAGAAGCGAGACCTGGTAATGTTAATGGTATATGTGTACAATGTATTTGTTACAGATAATAATAAAATAAAATTGTTCTACTAAGATAATATATCAATTACTTGTGGAATGTTTTACAGACATAATGTCATAAATTATTACGCGCGAAGAGCAAGAATTTAGATCATGAAGATATATATAACAGTCCGATACATTAAGAAACGAAAAAAAACCGTGATATGTGATCAGTCAAATCATAAGTACCGTTAAATTGTTAAAGTTTTCCCGTTTAAGTTATTTGCCTACAATAAGTAGGTCGAAAAAGTATGTTATGATTCAATACAAACTACTAACACTAAAGTATTACAGTAGATCACAGATGTTATAGACCGTAAATCGTATGAAATAAGGTTATATAATTCATATCACAATGTAGCACATATAACAGTCTTCACATTTCTCAATATTACTACATGCAATAAAACAACAGCAACGACTGTATCATGTTCTAATCACTGAATGTAAATTGTATGACAAATAACAGTTAATAAAGTAGCATATCAATGAGTATTTTAGTATATACATGAATGTTGTCTTAATGAACTCTCATAATATGAGTGACATTATTAACTGCCAGAAGATCCCGAGGTTAGAACCACTTCTGCATATGTATGTGTCTTAATGTGCGCTAGATCCTCTTCTGAGTTTATCACGTGCACTTGATTGAATTTATCTTTAGCCAGGATAGTACCATCAGAAGACCACGTGCTAAGTATCGACTTATGCTTGACCAGCTGTCGTGCTTCGAAGAGTAGTGAGCTTCGCTTTTTTGTAAGATCTTCATTAATATAGGAATTCTTATACCCTTTTGATTTAAGTGAAGCTCTTTTAGAGTAAAGTTTTTGTCGAGCTCTATATGAGACGAATTTAACAATAATGTCTCTAGGACGTGTTTCATGGGCCTTCGGTGTTCCAACTCTGTGACTTCGATCAATTTCGTCTAAGGCAAGGTTCGAGCCAATAGTATTTGCCATGTCCAGTATAAGTGAATCGGTATTTTCTCCCGGTTTTTCTGGCAGGCCTGATACACGCAGACAGTTGCGTCGGCTATATTGCTGGGCACGATCCGCATCATTTTCCAGTTGAGTGACCCTTTTTCGCAATGTAGTGTTCTATTTATCTATTTTCAGCCTCGACGAGTTCGAGCCGAGTGGCCATTTCCGTTTGAATATTGTTAATGAGCGTTGGTACCAGCTTATTAATTAGGTCTTCTATCATTGAAGACATATCAGCTTTAAAAGCTGTTGCTACCTGGTTAGAGATGAACTCAAGATTCTCCGACGTTAATATAATTTGGGTCATTGTTTGACTTCCTGCTAGTATTTCGGTATTGCTTATGTTTAATGATTCAGACTGTTTTGTCTTTTTATTGTCCAAAACATCAATTGGGGATGACAGTTCGCGTTTAGATGATGCTTTTGACTTAGGGGTGGACGTATCCATTGACCTGTTGACTTTAACGGCGTATGTCCGGGAAATACTTCTTGGTAAACAAAATAACAGTAGAGTGATGTCTAATTTAACGGTTATAGTTTACAGTTATCCAGTATTTATAATATTTTCGATGTGTTATGCAATATTGGTCGTTTTCATAAGTTATATGGAGGTTTGTAGTTCTAGGATTAGGAAAATGGCGGGCGATTCGCCAATATGATTCAATGTAATGAAGAAATTGACGTCTGTCGGTATAAAATGCACAATACCTGCAGTTCCAAAAGCATTTATTTTAAGTCCAAGACTTCACATCACAATTTCCGATAATTTGCTTATAGTAAATCTCCAGAATATTACATTTTATTTATTTTTTTGCAGAGCACTAAAATTTTACAACCTCTCACAAGGGAGATCACTCTTTTTTTCCATATGTATCATATGTATAATGATTACGTCACATCGTCATAAATATGAAACGTCAACAGTGTTTTTTTGTTTTTGTTTTTTGTTGTTTTTTTTTGCATAATAACACAGACTTTCTGTTCTCTATATTCAATAGGGAAAAATGCGGGTTGTGTTAGAATTTATTTTATCTTATTCACGTCATGTACTTATCTAAGAGCGCTACAGCCCTCGCGGGACCGGGCTTCCGCACACTAGCCTAAAAGGATTTCAAAATGGCAGCGCCCTATTAACTGAGGATTTTTCCCAGACTCGTTGAATATATAATTTTGATTTTGACTTCATTTAATTTATCCACGTCATACATTTTATCTAAGAGCACTACAGCCCTCGCGGGCCTATGACCCCGCTCGGACTTTATTCGTGCCGATTCGACACTAAATTTATGTAATTTGTTGAATAACTAGAGGATATTGAATGAGTGTAGGTTCAAGGGGGAGAATCACGCTGTTCGTTACCCAAACAAACAAGATGGCGGATGCAGCCGAAAAGTAAGTGTTTCCCTTTCTTCTGAAATTCGTGATGTTCTTGTGTAAAGGTACATAAAATAACCTTCTACACAATTTTCCTGGCATGCAGGATCTTATTTCATGATGTTTCGTCCCGTACTTCATCTGAAATGCGCGTCACCAGATTCGAAGCGAGAGAATTTCCCACTGGTTTGATCGTGGTAACGTACGGCTTCTCCTCTTAAATTCATTGTTTCTTTTACATATATGTATATTAGCTGAAACCACTTCTAATGCAGTAACTCTCTGGCGTGGGTTCGATCCCAGAGAGATGCTTTGGTAGTTTAGCATGGAGGAAGGTAGTCTTGTACTGGTGTTACTCTCCAGGAACGATGGTTAGAAAACTACTCGCCTATATGACTAATATACTGTTGGGAAAAGGCGTAAAATGAAAGAAACAAAACAAAATAATAGACCTGGCTTTGTTCAATGTAAGCGGCCGCCATTTTTAAAAGTTGTGTATTTCACAGGAGGAAAATAATTATGTTTGATTCAGAGGGATATCATTTGGATACCTTTTTAAAAGAAAGAAAACTTATTTGAGGATTGTAACAGACAAAAAAAAGTGTTGACAGATGTGAAAACATTCAAAAAGCGGCTAGGAAAATGGAAAACTTGGAATTGTTCAAAGGCTGCCGCACGAACGCAGGGCTGTTTACTTATTCTTCGGACTGATTGCTGTCATTGCTTTTCAAGTTTTCATAAAGCATACGGCAGTTATTGCTCGTAGGATACTTAAATATGCCCAAATGTCATCAAGAGCAGTTTTGCATATGGAAGGAATGTATTTTTTATACTGTAAAAAACAAAAAAAAAAAATAGAGACGATATTTGGTGATTGGAGTTTGAATGAATAGAAGTAAAGTGTTCTTCTTTTTATTACTTTTGACATTTAAGTAATTTATCAATTCATCAATTTCAGCTTTGCTTTTCTTTAAACAGCCTGGCATTGTTGAAATTGGTAGTATATAATTTTCACGGATAAATCAGTAATCCACTGAAAAGTATAAAATAAATTAGTGTTATATAGTTTTTATTAAATGGCTTAATTACACTCCTGGGCACCGGTTTATGTGATAAAACAATATAATGCTCACCAGAAGCTCGCACAATAGGATTTTATTCACCACGTTCAATAACTTTGGTATTAAACCTACACCCATTCAATATCTTCTACTTATCGCATTCCCGTGCCGCTTTTGCGACCCTGTAAAATTGGTATATCACGGCCGTGCATATATTTTGACGTGACGTCATTTGGGTTTAACAAACCTAGTGTAAAGACGCATTTAATGTAAGCGTTATACTACAGGCGCGTCAATGACTGTTTCACTTTAAACGGTCTGTGATAAATATAATATTAAATTTGTGTAAGTTCATTCGCCAGAGGCTCACAAAATTCAGTATTGAACTTACACACATTCAATATTCTCTATATATTTTACTCTACTCTTTCAATAAATTCAATTTTAAACTGACACTTATTCAATATCCTCTACAGTTCATACCCAGACTTAAAAAAAAAAAAAACATAAAAGAAACGGAATGTGACATTATCCATTATCGGTCGATTTTGTTAGCTCACCTGTCACAAAGTGACAGGGTGAGCTTTTGTGATCGCTTTTCGTCCGTCGTCCGTCCGTCGTCCGTCGTCCGTAAACTTTTACTTTAAAAGACATCTTCTCATAAACCACCAAGCCAATTTCATCCAAACTTCACAGGAATGTTCCTTTGGTGGTCACCTTTGAAAATTGTTCAAAGAATTTAATTCCATGCAGAACTCTGGTTGCCATGGCAACCAAAAGAAAAAAACTTTAAATATCTTCTTCTAAAAAATCCAAAGAGCTAGAGCTTACATATTTGGCATGAAACATTTTCTAGTGAGTGTCTACCAAGTTTGTTCAAATAAAAGCCCTGGGTTCAAAATTGGCCCCGCCCCAGGGGGTCATTGATTTTCCCTATATGCATATAGTAAAAACTTAAAAAATCTTCTTTTAAAGAACCCAAAGAGCTAGAGCTAAGATATTTAGCATGAAACATCCTCTAATGGGTGTCTACCAAGTTTGTTCAAATAAAAGCCCTGCGGTCAAAATTGGCCCCGCCCCAGGGGGTCATTGATTTTCCCTATATACATATAGTAAAAACTTATAAAATCTTCTTTTAAAGAACCCAAAAAGCTAGAGCTAAGATATTTAGCATGAAACATTCTCTAATGGGTGTCTACCAAGTTTGTTCAAATAAAAGCCCTGGGGTCAAAATTGGCCCCGCCCCAGGGGGTCATTGATTTTCCCTATATGCATATAGTAAAAACTTAAAAAATCTTCTTTTAAAGAACCCAAAGAGCTAGAGCTAAGATATTTAGCATGAAACATCCTCTAATGGGTGTCTATCAAGTTTGTTCAAATAAAAGCCCTGGGGTCAAAATTAGCCCCGCCCCAGGGGGTCTTTGAATTCCCTATATGCATATAGTAAAAACTTAAAAAATCTTCTTTTAAAGAACCCTAAGAGCTAGAGCTAAGATATTTAGCATGAAACATCCTCTAACGGATGTCTACCAAGTTTGTTCAAATAAGAACCCTTGGGTCAAAATTGGCCCCGCCCCAGGGGGTCATTGATTTTCCTTATATGTGTATAGCAAAAACTTTTAAAAAATCTTCTTTTAAAAAAAACCAAATAGCTAGAGTTTAGATACTAAGCATGAAACATCTTCTAGTGAGTGTCTACCAAGTTTGTTCTTATAAAAGCCCTGGGGTCAAAATTGGCCCCGCCTCGGGGGTCATTTATTTTCCTTATATGTGTATATAGCAAAAACTTAAAAATCTTCTTTGAAAAAACCCGAATAGCTAGAGATTAGATATTTAGCATGAAACATTTTCTAGTAAGTGTCTACAAAGAGTGTTCAAATAAAAGCCCTTGGGTCAAAACTGGCCCTGCCCCAGGTATGTCATTGTTTTTAACTATATGTGTAAAGAAAAAACTTGACTTTTATTGTTCACTTCACAATATTTTACTTTTATAAATACATTTTCAAAATGTTCATTTAAAAATAAATATGAAATTGGGGGCTTGCTGTTTTAACACTGCAGTTACAGTTTAAACAGTTAAACATACAAGGAATGTTAAAAAAATATCACGTGTGCTTCTTTTCGTGAAATTCCTTTCATATGTTCAAAAACCTACCTCCAGTATATAAAATCTAGAAGAGACTTGCGACATTTATTTCTTGCATATCTACGGTGTTCCGTTTGGAAAATAGGGATTTTTTTAATTCTTCTGTACCCGCGATGCACGATGGTACTATGGTGAAGACGCGATGGTACGATGGCGAAAACACGATAGAACGATGATGAAAACGGGATGAAACGATGCTGAAAACGCGGTGTTATATTGCATTTTCAGCATAGTACTTTTTGCGTTTTCACCATCGCGCCATCGTGTTTGCATCATCGTACCATCGTATTTTCGCTATCGTGCCATCGCGCTTTCGCTGTCGTACCATCGCGCTTTCACCAACGTACCATCGCGTTTTCATCATCGTGCCATCGCACTGTCACCATCGTACTATTGCG